GATGAACAGCGCTCAGCAGAATCAGACCAAAGATAAGACAAGAAATGCGCGGGTTCGTCAAAGGCACCTGAACAAGAAACGCGATATTAATACTCAGAATGTTATCAGAAAGAGCAATACAAATGCAGAAGGACGTGTGTCTGCGTTTTATAGATTACGCCACTATAGCGACTTACCTCGTCAAACCAAGCGACAGCGCGTCACGTGTATACTACAATGGAAAAGAACATTACTTACCAAAAAAAAAAAAAAAAGAAAAAGGGCACGTATTCCTCATGACATGCTGAAGACGGAATATTTAGATTAAAAACAAGTCCGTCGCAGGAGTCTCTATAAAAGTATTTAGATATGCAAAAATTTGGCGTCCTCTCCCAGTTGTCAACAAATGAAAAAAATGCTCGGCAGATAAAAGCAGTTGTTCACGAATCGAAATTGAAAATTGATGTATTTTGGCTACCGGGTTTGTCGGAGGGTGAGTTATTTTTCTGACTGGTTACGTGCATTGGGATTTGTGAGATAGTACCTGCGAATCGAGTTTTCGGCATTTCTTTCTGCCCGCGATGTTCGAGTCTGAACTTACAGTGATTTGTTCTCTGCGTTGTGGAATTAATCTGCGACAGACATTTCCTTTGCTTTCAGAACACTTACAGCCACAAAGATCAGTTAGAACTTTTCAGTAATCAAAAACCTCTACTGGCAGCAAACTGCCTGCCTACGGTGAAAAATGAGTTCGGCAGATACACAAAAATAGAAAGGCGTGTAAGACAAGGATGAGTCTTCTCACCGGACTTATTCAACCTATACAGAGAGACAATTCTGAGAGAACTGGAAATCTTACCGGGATTCATCATTGGCGGCCACAATCTTAACAAGATAAGATATGCAGATGACACATTAGTGATAGCAGACACGAAAAAGAAACAACTAAAGCTCCTACAAAAGGTAGCGAAGGAAAGCAAGAAGAAAGGACTAAGCATAAACTATAAGAAGAGAGAATACATGGTCATCAGCAAAAAAGATGAGGCCAAAATGCGAATTACAGATTGGGAATACTAAAATGAAACAGTTACAGAAATTTAAATATCTGTGAAGTGTTCTAACAGAGGATGGTAAGTGTGACACTGAGATCCGAAGACGTATTGGGATGGCCAAAGATGGACCGCAAAAGCTAAGCAGAGTATTAGGAGACACAAAAGTGTTGTTGGAAACAAAGAAGAGAGTACTGATCTTTTACATGATATCTCTCCTCATATATGGCAGGGAATGCTGGAAAATCTTATCAAAGATGAAGAAGAGACTCAAAGCAACAGAAATGTGGTTCTACAGATGCTGAGGATATCATGGGCCGAACATGTGAGAAAAGACGAGGTTTTGGAGAGAACGGAAACAAAGTGTAACTTTATACATACCATCAGGAATAGACAATTGAAATTTCTGGGAAACGTAATGAGGAAGGAGGGCTTGGAAAATCTGACACACACAGGACGGATACAGGGAAAGAGGGGCAGGGGAAAGCAACGCGTCACATAGTAAATGGATCTGAACAAGTGGATGACGGAAGAGAGTCTGGGAGAAATAACAAAAATACGAAACTTATTAAGAGCTACAAGAGACAGGAGGATGTGGAGGGCCATTATCGCCTCCGTTCTGAATAGACAAGGCACATAAAAGAAGTCAGTTCGTTCCTCACTAGGTGCTCCATACTTGCGACAACATCTAAAATACACTTAGGAAATTTAAATCAATTATTATTGAATAGAGAGTTCGAATCCCTGTTAGGTGTGCCCCATGCAACGGGTCTTGTGTTGCATCGAAGCTACGCTTAGAAAATCAATTTTAAGGCACTTAGATGTTTACAGTTAATGTTTCATGATTGAAAAACATAGAGAGTTTGATGTCAGTGATAGTTGTCCTTTACTATTTAATAAACTTAGTCTGATATAAAGCCAATGTCGTCGGGCATTCAGTGAAGCTCGGAGTATTCTCTAGAGTAGTGGTTCCCAAACAGTGCGTCTCGCCTCATAGGTACAACGGAAGAGGATAGCAGGTGAGGCCAAAGGGGATAGCAAGTGAGGCGTAAGAGGATAACAGGTGAGGCGGAAGAGGATAGCTGGTGAGGCGTAAGAGGATAGCAGGTGAGGCAGAAGAGGATAGCTGGTGAGGCGGAAGAGGATAGCTGGTGAGGCGTAAGAGGGAGGTAGGCAGAAGAGGAGGTGAGGCAGAAGAGGATAGCTGAGGCGGAAGAGGCGGAAGCAGGGAAAGAGGATGAGGTGGAATAGGATAGCAGGTGAGGCGTAAGAGGATAACAAGTGAAGCGGAAGAGGATAACAGGTGAGGCGGAAGAGGATAGCTGGTGAAGCGGAAGAGGATAACAAGTGAGGCGTAAGAGGATAACAGGTGAGGCAGAACAGGAGAGCTGGTGAGGCGGATGAGGATAGCTGGTGAAGCGTAAGAGGATAGTAAGACAGGCGAAAGAGGATAGCAAGTGAGTCGGAGTAGGATAGCAGGTGAGGTGGAAGAGGGTAGCAGCTGAGTCAGAGCAGGATAGCTGGTAGGGTGGAAGAGGGTAGCAGGTGAGGCGGAGGAGGATAGCATGTAAAGCGGAATGATTAAAAGAGAATCAAAGATTTAGAAAAAGTTTCAAAAAATTTATATGCCAAAAATAAATATGATTTCAAAATTTAAAATATTATTATAACAGGATGAGTCCCAGTATAAATAGTTATAAATAATTATTGAGGATTTTATCATTGTGGTATTTTTGCATTATATCAAATATTAAGAATATAGTAACTAGGCTCTGCAAATTGGAGGAAGAGAGTTGTCAATGATAAGGATACCCCCCCCCTTTCTCTCTCTCTCTCTCTCTCTCTCTCTCTCTCTGTTTTTTTTTATTTTTAAATGTACTTTTTACCATAGACAATTTGGTGAAGGCGCAAAGACAAAAATGATAGCCAAAAATAAAAAAAAAAATTTGAGTCTAGGAATTGGTTCATGAGAGTAAAATTTCCATGAACAGACTGCTGTTCGTCCTCAGCTTTTTATGAAGATTAGTCTGGCACAAGGAGTCAGAGCAGGATAGCTGGTATTGGTGGAAGAGCTGATTCACTCATGTTTTGTAACAGGTGAGGCGGAGGAGGAATAGCATGTAAAAGCGGAATGATTCAAAAAGAGTCTCCAAATCAAAGATTTAGAAAAAAGACTTTCAAAAAAGTAGTTGTTTTTATAGTTGTTCAAAATAAATATGATTTCAAAATTTAAAATATTATTATATAATTGATAAAAATGCGATGAGTCATTCTTTTTTATGTTATCTGGCTGAGGATGGATTATAAATAGTGCTTTTTATATTTCAACTGCAGTAGCTTTATGCTAAGCAAATGATCTTTTTTTTATCATTGTGGTAGGTTTTTTTGCATTATATCAAGTATTAAGTGAATATAGTAACTAGGATTGGTTGAATTTCTTCATCAAATTAGACACGGATTGGGAAAGAGTTGTCAATGATGTATATTGGCTGTTCACTATCCTCCGTGAATTCATCAGTTTATTCGAGCCCAAAAAGGGCGCAGGTCTCTAACATAACATGACGTTCCATCGACCCGCACTGACTGCTGACTCACCACCTCGGTCACACGTCCGGTTCAAATTTGGTCGTGCATTTACCACGTGGAGTTTCTCTTGTATTCTCTCGCGTCGATGCCTCTCACCCGGACGTGGTCTTTTTTTTTATTTTTAAATGGGCATCCTTTTTTCGTCCCATATCGAACGCAATTTGGTGAAGGAGAGGGCCCGTTTAATTTGTTCCGCGTCTGCCCTCTGCTCTCCAAATTTATACTCACCGCCTCGAAAAAAATGTCCGGCCAAAGAGACCAAAAAAAAAATTTAGGGAGCCACTGAATTCTGAATCAAAGAGAATTGGTTCCATTTTGAAGATCAATATTTGAGGCGAATGAAGAAAAACAGTAACCAGCGAGTAAATTCAAGCTCTCCCAACTGGTATTTCAAACAGACTGCTGTTCGTCCTCAGCCCGTTCTTTTATGAAGATTAGTCTGGAAAAAAAGTAGTTGTTTTTAAGGTTAATGTGAGCAAGATCGAATTCAACCTCGTCCAGTGTATTGGATAAAATTGAGATTCTTTTAAACTGGCCGAGGATGGAACGTCAGAGCGGACATGCTTTTTTTCTCTCCTGATTCACTGCATGCTTTACGGGCTCTTTTTGGCGGGGGGGGATCTGTCTGACCAGTTAATCGTCCCAAAACTGAAGTAGAACTGAAAGATTATTTTAAGCCGATCTTCCAAGTGAAGAGGGAAAAACTGCCTCGAAAATCAGCATCCAATAACATGCCTTGTCTTTTTACCTGGATTCGAACACCGACCACTGGCAGAAGGGAATATCTACTTCACAATCGTGATTGACACATCTTACTTCGTTGAAGGATGTCCACTCACAGAGTGCATCATCTGTGATGGCTACCGTTTCACTTCGATGCACATGACCCCTAAGATAATTATTGAGACCAGAATTCTATTTCTTTGGTTTGGTTTGATTGTTTTTGTTTCGCCATATATCAACACTTCCATGGATTAATTAATGCCTAAATCTAAATATTTTATGTGCAATTTTTTGGTTGAGATAATAATGGTTTTAGTGATACATGTATTACTAATTAACCCATAGCGGGGAGAGTAGAAATAGAGTTATGCCTTCCCCAAGGTTATCTGTGCGTAAGTAAATATAACGAATATAACTTTGAATTTGAACTCAGATCTTCGATTAACAATTCCGAGCCATTATCCATTACACCACCCGCACACATCCAAGCTTACATCACCGGTTATTTACTGATTCATATCCTACTAATTAACCCATAGCTGGGGGAGAGAAGACGTGGCGTCATACCTTTTAACGGATATTTGAGCATAAGTGAATATAATAAACCCGACTGGAATTTGAACTCTTCTCTCTGATTTTCAATTCTCAAATATCAAAGATTACATTCCTAAGCAGTCACCCATCTAGGTACTGGCCACGCCCAACATTGCTTAACTTCGGTGATCATACGAGAACAGGAGGTTGAAATGATATGGCTGTAAAGCTTTTTTTACTACTCGCACATCCAAGCTTCCAACATCTGGCATTCTCAAGAGGTAACCCATCTAGATGCTGACCAGACTCGACATTGCTTAACTTCGGTGATCGTACGAGAACCGGAGTTTCCAAATTATATGGCTGTAAAACCTTGATATCACTCCACTCGCACATCCAAGCTTACAACAACTGGCACTCCCAATCAGTTACCAATCTAGGTACTGACCAGGCTCGACGTTGCTTAACTTTGGTACTCGTACGTGGACCGGTGTTTCAATGTGATGTAATTTCATAAGTACCAGGTATAAATAATACATAAAATTTGCATCCTTGATTGGGGTGATTGGCCTACAACATGCCTGTGTACCACTGTGTGCTTTTTCAGTCCAGATGACGATCTGCAAACCTTGTTGCAAACAACACAGATATTGTCAGCAGGACCAAGAGCCAGCTTAGTGTAGTTGACTTGCTTCTAATTGTTACGACAACCATTCAGATGGTTTACATAACCTGCCCTCAACAACAGCATCTGCTAATACCCACCACATTTACAAGACTGTGTATTAATTGGCAAATCAGTGTGAGTACCTCTTCGGAAATCACTCATGATCTGAGTATGCCTAAGACATTCATACTCAAAGAATTCGCGGCCACAATACAGGCACAAAATCATAAATTTCGTGCGCTAAGTAAGGATCGAATTTAACGGAGTAATAAGAGCCTGCAAGAATTCATTGCTAACCATTATTTCACAGCGAGTTGCTTTTTGGGTATTTATTTAATTTAGTTTAATTAAAGCCCAAAACGAAGGGAGGAAGAGGATTCCGGAAATTGTATTTAGCCTTCTTCAAAGTGAGGAGAGCTTGTATTCTTGACTTGAAAATCAGCCATCTTAATCTGGATTTTACGTATAATTGAAAATGGATCCATAGCGCCGGTAGTCAATGAGCGACAATTTCGACTAACATATTTCTCTTTTCATATGGTTTGTTTACGTGTAACGAGACTATTCTTTAACTCCCTCTTTCTTTCTTTCTTTCTTTCTTTCTTTTTTCTTTCTTTCTTTCTTTCACCCTCTGTTTCCTTTACTCATTCTCTTTCTCTTTCTTTTCTTTAATACCTTACTACCATTCTCTTTTTTATTCTCTTTATTTGTTACCACTCCTTCATTCAACTTTTCCCTTCTTTTTTTTTTTTTTTTTTTTTTTCTCCCCCTTTTCCAATTATCTATACCCGAAATAACGCAACACTACAGATTCGGCCATTACTGAGTGTGTTCCATACATTCTAACCATCTTCGAAGACTTTCTACCAAGGTCGGATGGACACGACAATAGTATTATTATTGTTGTTGTTGTTGTTGTTGTTGTTATTATTATTATTATTATTATTATTATTATTATTATTATTATTATAGAGAAAACAACGTTCGGAACAATGAGACATCATTAAAACTATCATCACAATTTTTTTGTACCTGGCGCCTGGGCCAAGGCCAAAAAGGCTAACGAAGTTAATATATATATATATATATATATATATATATATATATATATATATATATATATATATATATATAATGTGTTTGACTTTGTATAGCTGTGCACTAGATTTAATAGTCAATATGTATATATGCATACACACATATGTGCATATATATGTGAGTGTGTGTGTGTTTATGTGCATATCCTGGCTTCTGTCTATGATGCTATACACGCACACACACACACACACACACACATATATATATATATATATATATATATATATATATATATATATATATATTGCACCAAATTACGCCGCACTTATTTCGATTAAACTTTTTACTTAGAACGATTACATCTCCACTTATATAATGTAAAACCAGTCTTAGTTGAATAACTCGTCATATAAGTGACACATGACTATAAAAATGATCTTTTGATTTATTTACGGCTAATTTGTTTAAATAATAGAGTGACTATTTATTTGCGTCATGTGGTAATAATTGTAATTAAAATAATGTACTAAAATAAGTGACCAAGTAGTCATTTTACGCTTTCTTAATATTGGTGTAAATATATATATATATATATATATATATATATATATATATATATATATATATATATATATATATATATATATATATATATATATATATGTGTGTGTGTGTGTGTGTGTGTGTGTGTGTGTGTGTGTATATATATATATATGTATATATATATATATATATATATATATATATATATATATATATATATATATATATTATTTAACCAAACACGCTTAAATATATATTCAAGCATGCTTGGTTAAATAATTTAAACGTATTATGTGTATTCATTTTAGATTTAATCCTTTCAAGTCCACGAATTAATTGTAGAAAATTGATCAAGAAAAATTCCCAAACTTTCTTTCAAATAATTTTTATTTCCCCAAGTACTTACAATCACATCTGAGACCATCTTTGGTTGTTGCATATGTATGGATATGTTATGCGTTAACCTCGTAAATTCAAAATATTTTTCACAGTAATGCAAGGGAGGTAACTTATGTGATTTTTTAAAAAGATTTTTTAATTGTTGTATTTTTAATTTTGTATTTTTTTATATAATACTTTGCTGCTACAAACATTTAAGATCGTTATTGCTATACTCGTAGTTAACTTTATTTATTTTGGGCCTTAATTTTGTCATAGAAAGGGCTTCCAGAATTTTAATTTAAAGGTGTTCGTTGATTCGATTGAGAAAAGCCTCCACCCCTGCTACTGGCTTCAGTCTAAGAAGCAGTCAATCCAGCAATGCCCTGTCATCACCACACTGGCTACATCCATAGCTATGGAGGCCAGTTTACCCCCTTTGTGTTAGGGGGCTTTTGATCCGACAAGAAGGTTCAGTTGACCTTTGACAGGTCTTGTTTTTTAAACCTGCTTCGTGTTTAGTCACCGTCATCTAAGGGATAAAGCCTGGAATGAGGACCCGTTAGTACTGGCTTATGTGCAACCAGAAGCGGTCTTAAAGTGACCTGAACTAAATATCCGACTTAGTAATTCTCAAAGAATAAAATTGCTTATGAAACTAAAAATCTAAAATCATTTACGCTTTGGATATATTCAAAATCTGCTTCATCAAATGAGCACTATTTCGCTTTATGAACAGAGAAAAAAAAAGAGATCTCTTTAGACATCTCTCCTTGTCTCCTGTTTTTTTTTTTTTTCTTCTTCCCAAAGTCAAATGTACGGCTACAACAAACGGACAAAATTATTCGATCAAATTTTTTTTAAAGAGGTAAGCACTAGTTTGACAATTCACGTTCAGATTGTAGTTGTTTATTTATTTAGCGGGGTTTTCTTTCCTTTTTCTTTTTTTTTTCTTTTCTTTTACTCTCTCGTGAAAAAAACGAAGGAGATTGTTAGTTGGGTTGACAAGGATAGAAATGATGAGAACCTGGGGCATAATGTGTCAGTTGATAAAAAGATTTCTTCGCGAATTTCTCTTCATAATCATTTAGGGCCCCGAGACATTCAAGTTTTTAAGCAGGAAATTACCGACGGCCAATTCTCGTTAATAGACATTTATTGATAGCAAAAACAACGCATCTATCTAATATGCTTACAGTGAAATCGCTAACTCTATTTTTTGAAGGGCAACACACAGACACACGCACCTAAAGAATGCCACACACGGGCACGCACGCATTCGATCTTTCGTTCTTACTGTGTATCGCTTTCTGTATCTCTACTGTTTTACACACGTACACACGTAATACACACACACACACACACACACACACATATATATATATATATATATATATATATATATATATATATATATATATACATATATATATATATATATATATATATATATATATGTGTGTGTGTGTGTATTGAGTTAATATATTTCTCAGATCAAAATATATCTATGTATCTAAAACTACCTATTCACATGCACCACGCACACACACACAAAACACTCTCAAGTTTTTCTCCGTCCCTCTCTATTTCTCTGTCTCCTCTCTCTCTCTCTCTCTCTCTCTCTCTCTCACTATATATGTGTGTGTGTGTGAGAGTATCTATTTAAAATTATTAGCTATCGAAAGAACAACGAATAGATAGATAGATAGATAGATAGATAGATAGATAGATAGATAGATAGATAGATAGATATGAACTGGATGAGATAGATAGATAGATAGATAGATAGATATGAACTGGATGAGATAGATAGATAGATAGATAGATAGATAGATAGATAGATAGATAGATAGATAGATGCGACTGATTTTGATCTATCCTCAAATATGGGCTGCGTGGGTATGTTTATCTAGTCCTGTTATTGTCTTCCGTAGTCTTGCGCAGATGTAACATCGCTGGACGCCTTTTACATTACCTTTTACAAAAATGCCGTATAATAGCTAGCTATCTAGTTATCTAGTTATCAAGCTGGCTAGATAGATAGATAGATAGATAGATAGATAGATAGATACGAACAGAATGAGGTAGATAGATACGAACAGAATGAGGCAGGTAGATACGAACAGATTGAGATAGATAGATAGATAGATAGATAGATAGATAGATAGATAGATAGATAGATAGATAGATATGAAGAGAATGTTTACTTCAGCATTGGCTTCACAAGGGAAAGAAATCTCTTTCAGTTTGTTATCTCTTTGAAGAACCAGGACAACGGTCACAATATGACTGAAGTTGAGCAAAAACGCTCGTGTTTTGTCGATTATTCATACGTCGATTTTTCCGGATTTCAATTGTACAGACGTGAAATGAAGAGAATAATTAAAATTATGCCAACATTTTTCAATTATCCGAACGAAATCCATTCTAATATTTCATCTCAGGTAAATGTTTTGGGAATTTAGAAATTCACAAATAAAATCGGTTCAATTAAGCAATTTTAATTTCCTGGTTGTTTTCATCCAGTGAACGGATATTTGTATCCACAGTTTGGTCAAACACAGAAGCAACGATTATGTTTGACAAATGTCTAAGTTGATTGCGCTTTCAACCAGAACCGACCTTTACAAAGATGTCTACTTTAAATCCAGCTTCAGAAGCTTCCGGTAGAAAAACGCGAGGCCAACGGGAAACAGACAAAAAATGACGCAAAATAAACTGGGCAAAAACTTTGAACAAA